TTTTTTTTTTTAATTCATTAGCAGTTTAAACTATAACCACTATCTACTAATTTTAAATTGTTAAATAAAAAGTTTAGCAAATAGAAAATGATTGATGCACACATAATTTGTAATAATTTCGAAATAAACAAACTTATTGCTAAACACATATTTAATTTGAGTAAAAACACTAATCACTATCCCTAAACTATTATATTAATGGACGTTAAAACTGCAAAATTACTTGTGTACAACTGCGCAAGTCACTCGCCTTGAGAAGTTGAAAATGGCATTTGATTTCTACGTTAGAGTGGAAGAAATTAAATCAATAAGACCTTAACCACTAATTTAAAAATCTTGATTTGGAATCAATATTGAAGGTTCAAATATATGTGTTGTCAAGTAATTAACTTTTTGATGTAAAAAAAAAAGTGGAAGAAAATGAAAAATGCAAAAATAAAATAGTACTAAAACAAGTAATATAGAGGTTCTAAAGGGGGGCACATGGAAGAAAAAGGAACGAAACTATTGTAGCATATTTACATGGTACGTAGATAATAAATTTAGAGATGAAAAGATAAATATGAAGTTAGGATACAAGATATAATTTTTTTTTTTTTGATTTCCCGTTCGGTATCCGGGGCTTTGCCCCGACTACTCCGAACTCGACCAGTTGTGGCGCACCAGAATGGTGGATGGGTCTCCCAACGAAGGCTATTGCGTACACAAGATTTCGAACTCGAAACCTTACTTAAACTGGAATAAACCGCTTGCCACTTGATCCAACCTCTTGTTGGTAGGATACAAGATATAATTTTTTTTTTTTGGTTTCCCGTCCGGTATCCGGGGCTTTGTCCCGACTACTCCGAACTCGACCAACTGTGGCGCACCAGAATGGTGGATGGGTCTCCCAACGAAGGCTGTTGCGTACACAAGATTTCGAACTCGAAACCTTACTTAAACTGGAATAAGCCACTTGCTACTTGATCCAACCTCTCGTTGGTAGGATACAAGATATAATGAATATACAGAAAACCCATATTAATTTATAATGGGTGGAATAACAATACTAGTGAGAGTTTTGTGATTGAGATTACATTAATTTAAAATTAAATTCTGAGTTAAGAATCAAATATTGATTCTCTTGATTGTGAAAATCTCTTGATTTTAATGAAGTCAATACTTCGTAACGGTGGACAAGAAAAACCAAAAATCAAAATATAATAAGAAAATAACAGGTGCAAGACGTACAAAATTCATTCCAGTAAGATTTTCAGTAGCAATCTCCCTTAATGTCTCAATAAAATAGCCATCTCTTATGCTGCATCAAATACACCCTCATTGCCAAGAGAAACAAGTTCATCCCGGGAAGAATGAAAGCTGCAGCAGTAGGCCAGAAATACCAAACACCGAAACATGATAAAAAAAAAATACATGCAAGACGTACCGAACTCATTCCAGTAAGATTTTCAGCAATCTCCCTTAATGTCTCAACACTACTCATCTTAGGTGCTGCATCAAATACACCCTCATTGCCAAGAGAAACAAGACTTTCCCAACAAACATGAAACTCGTAACAATTATCTAGTAAGTTGTACCAATGACTCTTAGCCTTTGGAATCCCAAGAATCTCCACCCTTTGCCTTGTTTTAGTTTCAGGGTTATACCAAAAAACCTCATCCTTTTTATAAGCCAGAATGCTATCTCCATCCTTTGAATATGCCAATGGACAAGGCAATTCAAGGCGACGCCAGTCATGCAAACTAAAGCGACGCGACTCATGCTCATCATCCTCGCCATTCAAATCCCTCTCCATCTCCTCATCCTCCATTTCAAATGTCTTCTTCCATTTACCTATTCTACCCTTATCACTCACGGCCAAATAAAATTCAAGTGTTTTGCTCTCAGCAGTTACTTTGGTAGTATAGACTTCACCTCCGAAAACCACCATGTTATCATAGCAGAATGATAATGTTCGGGTTTCTGTTGTGTTGATCAGAAACCCTGAATCAACAAGCAGCGGTATTTTAAAATAAACCTCATTTGTAAGGTCAAAACCAACCATATTACATCTATCATCACTATTACTTTGCCAATACAAAGCACCATTTGCAAAACTAGACTTGGATCGTTCCATCGTGCTCGGAGCATCTGGACTCCTTCTCCAAGAATTCTTTTTCAAACTAAAAACCCAAGATTGATACCAATAATGACGGTACTCGCAAAAAGCTGAAATCATCACAATTTTGTAGTCATCATGAGCAGGATCATGTCCAAGGCCTAAGCTGGATGTACATACGTAATCAGGAAGGGTTACGACGGTGCAAGGAGGTATTTTCTTATATCGCCTTGTGAATGGATTCCATAAGGCAAGAAGTTTAGATGATTTACCCAAAACAAACAGAATTAAACCATTGCAAGAACCACCTATTGCAATGGGGGTATCCACTGAAGATTTGAAGGGGTACTTCAGTGTGGTGGCTTTTTTGAAGCCACCATCAAAATCTAAGGCGTAGAAATGCGAGCAATTTCGGTTGTTGACGATTAGCTTCTGACGGAGTCGGTTTCGCATTGATTTATTGAGATTATTTTTGATAAACTCTGGACTATCAATTTCATAGCAAAGTGATTTCGAAACGCATCTCAATCGGAGTAGAGTCTTGACCGGGAGGCGGAGGAGAATATCGGAGACTAACTCCGGTAAGAATGTGCTCATTTTTGAGGTTTCCCTGTAAGAATTATGAAAGGGTACGGAGGAGGAGCTCACGTAGAAGAAAGTTTAAATAATGATTTCTGGGATAGAAACTAATCTCTAAATCGACGCTGATTTATGGTTAGTCTTTTTTGACTTTTTTTAGTAAATAAATAAAATAGAAAAATTTTTATACCAGAAAGCACAAAAAAAAAAAATGCAGTTAGATAATTGAGGGCTAGGTAGCATTTTTATTACCGAAAAATAGAAAGAAATTGGCCATCTGGTATGGTTGTGCATCTATCATATTTCAATTAGACCTAACAGAATAGGTTAGGATTAGATATATTTAACCCATAACTCGTTAATAGTTTGTTAGGAAAACCCAACAGATTATGGGTTAGCAATGGGTTGACCCGATCAATTTACATGCTTAACTAACCTGTTTAACATTTGTTTTATTTCATTGCCTATTTTGTATTTTCAAAAGAAAAAAAAAAAAAACTTGTTTTATATTTCAATTCTAAAATATCTTTTATTATTTTATTAAAATAAGAAAATACAAAACAACTGTTCTACCCTAAATCCCTGATTTTCCTTGATCTTTGGTCACTTTCTCTTTCTCTACCTTTTGCCGCAGCTAGCCTCTCCTTCCTTCCTCTCACATTCTCTGATCATTCTAGTACCACCGTCCACCATTGGCCAATGCCAACACTGTCTCTTTGTCCGTCTCCATCTCACAGCCAACATCTCCTTCCTTCTTCCTTTGTCCGACTCTCCAACTTCTCCCTCTGCTCCGAGCCTTCGACTGGTGAGTGGCTTCTACTCTTCTCCTTGCATTCTGATTTAACATAGTATATAATATGTTAATTAAAAAATTATTATTTTTATTTAAAATTTAAAATAAATAAACTTAAAAATGTAATCATGAACTCATGAAATTGATTGTATTTATATTATATTTTTAATAGACAAACTAGACAAATATAAAAAATATATTAAACCTATCAATAATTTTTCATTACATTTTGCTTTCTTTTGATATTCCATATTTGAGTCAGTACTCTCTGCATTTTGCAAGTTGAGTTATAGCATGTTTATATATTTTTTAGTCATGAATTCGATCTAATTATTGAGTTAAATTTTGTATATATTGGATGTTGACAAGGGCAAGGATTAGGAATATGGAAGCGATATTGGTTCTTGCTTTTACTTGAGGCTGCGGTTGAGGTTGAGGTTGAGGCTGAGGCTAAGGTTGAGATGCAACCAAAATTTTAAGGCATATGGGCATCTGTTGAACGGGCTACACTACTTCACCTGTTTGGGAACATTTCATCAAGATAGTTCATTGAAAGAATAAGGTAGAGTAAGAAAAGGTGAATGCAAATACAGTGGAAAAAAATACAACTGTCTAGCAACTCATGGCCCTTCAAGTATATATGAGGAGGCATGTTCTAAAATGCCCACGTGGAGTGCACACATTTTTTAATAGTTGTGTATTATAGTTGTTATTAAATATATATACATATACTTTTGATTGGATTGAGCATGAAGATGTTAAGGGAATTAATGAAGTATTTAAATGTAGAAGTGAAATCAAGTTGTAAAAATGCTATGAAAAATCATTGCTTAAAAATTTATAAAAGGGACAGAGAGAATTTATTAATTAGGAGATTTTGCAAAAATTGTGAGTAGAAAACATATTTAACGTGTGACATGTGAACTTTTGCAATAAGGCAATGATATTTTGTTTCACTGCACATTAGGTTGATGAGCTTGATTTAAAATTTTTTGTATGTCCAATCCCCCACATATTTCTAGGAAATTATATAAAGTTTTTATGACTTAAAGAGTAAGGCACTAAGGCACTGAGATAAAATTTTTTAATTATCTTGGACAATGCAAGGATTAATGACTTTTTATTTGCTACATACAATGCAAGAATTGATTATAACATGCTAATAAAATGTCTTCGCTTTTCAAAAAAATAATAATAATAATAATTATGTTAAGCAAAAGGTTTTAGAGAAAATAGAAAAACAGGTGAACCTGCGAAAAAAAATTGCTTGTCATGACCTTATTAAAATGACATTGTTTAAATAATAAATGGGGAATTTTAACCCCGTCTCCTGTGACCCTCTTCGTGAAGGTCTACCGGGACAGGAATTTTAAGACCGGCGACAGTGACAGTGTGGCTATCAAGGTTCTCGATATGGAGAAGATAGGCCTTGTCGTCCACATCAAACGCAAAATGGCCGTCCTAACGTTGTTCAGCACTTAGAAGTCATGGCTGCCGAATCCAAGATCTACTTTGTCATGGAGTATGTTCGCGGCGGCGTGCTGTACGTATTTTCCAAAATTTTGAACTATATGAATTTTCAGAAATTGCTATATGGGTTTTAGAAAAAAATTCATATCAATTTCAATAAATCCATGGAAACTAAGATGAATAAATCCCAAAAAAATATCACGATAAAGATCGACTCACGAGTCACGATGTTTCATTGAAAATCCTATGTTGATTGGGAGAAGAGGAGGCGTGCAAAGGTTTTCTTAAATAGTTGCAGCCTCCACCGATGGTGTGGCTCCAGCAATGATGATTCTACAGCAATGGGGCATCGGTCATGGGAAGGAAGAAGGGGCTTCTAATTCAAGAAGAAAGGGGGTCACAGGAGACGAGGTTAAAATTCCCCTGTACTATTTGAACAAAATCATTGTGATAAGGTCAAACTTACAAATATTTTTGCAGGACGACCTATTTTTCAGTTTCTCTTTTTTAAAATTCAACTTAATCTTGAAAAAGCAATATCAAAGGAGAACTTGCTGATATTACCAAAAAAAAAAAAAGGAGAACTTGCTGAAAACAATTAAAAATCAGAACGTATCTGTATATGGCAATGATAGGTCTATTTTTTTATTTAATATATTTCACAATATATTTATTAAAAAATTATTATTTATAAATTTAAATTAAAAATTTTATTTATAAAATTTAATAATTAAATTGATAAATAAAATTTAATAATTAAATTGATAAATAATAATAAATAAATTAAATTAAAAATATACCAATCATTACCTATTCCTATACGTAGAGAGAGATAGAATTAAGAGAATACAGAACTTTTCACTCCTTCCTCTACTATTTATTGGACATTCTACCATAAAGGCCAAGGGGAGAAGGGCGCGAAGGGTGTCAGGACTCAACTAAAATGTTTTCCATGAAAGATAATATGCGGAAAAGGGAAAATGCGAAAATAAAGCTGAGAAGATCTATGGCATTACCTGATGAAAGTTTTCTCTTATCCTCTTGAAAATGCCTGATTCTTCAGCTCTAAATCACTTCTTCATGGCATGAGCATCCCAGAAAAGCTAACAGCAAAACAGAGAGCAAAAGCATAATAGAGAATGATTAAACCCACAGAATTAGCCTCTCAGTCTCTTAAAATGCATTTTTCATAATTATACCATGAGGTTCTTACTGTTTGGACCATCAACTTTAGATCCTCCTCTGTGTGCACCGCTGCAGCAAGCAATGTGCGGGAAGCTTTTGAGCAGCACGAGGGACTCATACTTGATGGGAAAATACAGATAGGCTGGGGACCTATATGGTTTGCAGTGGCATGGACCATTTGGAATGCTAGAAATGAAAAGCAATTTAATGGTGGCACAGTAGATGTTGACAAAATGGTTGATTCCATGCAAGTCAAGACATATCAATGGGTCAAAAATAGAGGAAAGGTAAGGTCTTTCTTTACGTCAGACTGGATCATTACCCAAGGGCATGTGTTAGCAACTGAATTACTGTAGGTGGTTGGAAATTGGTTAAAAGTTTGTAATTAATTTAAGTGATTGATTGATATTCACTTAATTTTGTATATGGATTTGAGTAGTTATTGTACTCTTTGTAATAAAATTTTGCCATTCAAAAAAAAAAAAAAACTTTAGATCTTTCTCCTGATAATAACAATTTGAATCTTTAAATCACCAAGACAAGGCAGTTCTTGACCAAAAAAAAAAAAAAAAAATCACAGGAAAACAAGGACTGAAGCAAATTCACAATTGAGAATAACATATATAATGCATGATCCATCATAAGACCCAAAAAAGAAAAAAAAAAAAACAAAGAGTCAGCCTAAAACTACAACCAGAACTATAATTACTGTGATAAAGCCATTGTTAATAATGTGGATTTACAACTACAAAATTACTTGTGTACCAGTACAACTACACAAGTCACTCACCTTGAGAAGTTGAAAATGGCATTCTATTTTTATGTTAGAGTGGAAGAAAATGAACCAATAAAAGTTTGACTAAATTGATACTTATTATTTTAAAAATTTTTATTTGAGATCAATGTCAAAAGTTCAAATTTTGTATTATCAAATAGTTAATCTTCTTTTATATATATATATATATAATTTAACTCTTTTTGCTATTTTTGATTTATTTAATGTTTTTATTTTTTACTTTTTGATTGAAAATTATATAATAAAAAATAATTATTTTTTATCTTTTAACACACTACACTCATATACTATGCTATTCAAACTTATAACCTATTAATTATACTAAAAAAAAAACTATCATTGATTTTGTTAGATCATTTGGCAAGTGTTTGAACTTTTTTAAATTTTACGATTTACTCTACAGTTTCCTTCTCTGCCAATTCAATTCCTGCAATCCAAATTTATATTTTTAGACATTTTCAATTGGAAAACAAATAAGTATTTTTTAGGTCAAATTACATAATAAAAGAACAGTCCATTTCGACAAAGTTCAGAGTTGGAAGCGTCATTGATAATTCGTTTCCAAGCACAATTTAATTAACAATCAAAAAAATTATGAAATCATAACTCAAAAAGAATTAGTTTAAGGGATTATCATTAATATAAATATAGTACCTTGAATCAAACTTGTTTCGCCGATGTTAACAGGTTTAGATTGTTAGGTATAAGTACAATTTCCCTCAAGAACTTGTAGCGAGTGTTTTTGCAAGGCTTCCACCAAGGTCCCTATTGCGATTCAGATGTCTATCCAAACGATGGGGTCTTGCATTCTCCGATTCAAAAAAATTCATCAGCCGCCACGATTTCTTTCTCCAATACATTGATTACCCTGTCCCAGCATTGTCTCGGTTAAGGATTCCAACCTCTTTCGA